CTTAATAATAATAATTACACGATACTTTAATAATTTATTTCAGCTTGTGAAGCTAAGTAATAAATTGGAAAATCCTTGGAATTTAGTGAATTATTATTCTTGCTTGTTTAGGAATTAATTGTTACTCCTGTAAATGAGATTTAATTGATAAATTGGTATTTATTTGAATTGAAGGAATTTAATTAATATATTGAGAATTATTACATTTGAAGGAATTTGATTATTTCCGCTTATTAATTAAATTATTTGTAAATTCTGTAAATCATGCTGATTTGAATATCCTAATTTTATTTCAATTGGTATTTAGAGTTTTGTATAATCTACTAGATGCTCATGCACTTGTGACACCGGGTCTTGGCACACACATTGGTAGAAATTGGTATTTTATTATTTTCTTGGAATAAAAGTTTAACCAATGCACGTTTGACTTATTAGTTGGCTTGCCTAGCTGTAGTGTTGGGCGCCATCACGACCTATAGGTGAAATTGGGTCATGACACATAAGTAGATTATAGAATTACGAAGCCCACTCATAAGTGGAGCACAATAGGAGAACTCGTCTTGATTCTCAGAACCGAATCAAATTAAGGAAATTATTCCTTTATTTTAAATCGAGGTCGTACTTATAACGACACCATCTGAAGTAACGACCTCCACCATACCATAAAATAAATATAACAACGGCTGGGTCTCTACCTCTAGGACGCCTTCTACCCGTCTGTCCTCCACCCTTAACTGGTCGAGTGGGTGGTGTAATAGCTGCAATGGGGCACACAGCCTGAGTGCTTTGATGAAATATGCCTCTCCCAAGTTTGGGATAATTTTCTCATGATGTGACTAGTATCGCCGTATTCATAACAACCCATTTGCGAGTTTGGCTGCTCATATTGAGTCTGTGCCAGATGACTGGAATAATAATCGTAGGAAACTCATGCCGGTGGTGCATTAAAAGAACTTATTGGAGCACCCCGGGTAATCCGATGTGCGGACTGGGCTGGCCGACTGCCCGAGCCCCTGCCATAATGATTATTTCAGTAGAATCCACTAAATCCCCCAGAACTTCGAAGCGTCTTGGTCTCCTTATCTTGGCAATTTCTACCACTAGCGGAAATGAAGTATTAGTCTGTAGCTCCTGAGTCATACAAAATTTTTGGATCATAATTAAGTCCTTTAATGAGTCTGTGGACTCACTCTCTGGCTGTAGGAAGCAAAGTAGGAATATGATAGGCTAACTTATTGAACCCGATGGCATAGTATGACACCGTCATGGTGACCTGACGCAATCGTTCAAACCTTATGCGCCATGCATTACGGAGAGTCCGGGAAACAAACTCTTTCAAAAGTATTTCTGAGAACCGAGCCAAGTGGGCGGTGTTGTATTGACTGGTCTGCCCTCTTCATATGCTTGCCACGGACACCTGTGGAGAATTATCTCTCCCAAGACCAATTTCTTCTTTTGTTATACTGACTCAACACTGTTGCGCTGACCCATTTCTTAACATACTATTCGATTCTTCTCAGAGGTAACCCTTACCCCTATTTATACACAACGATCACAAAAGTAGAGCTCCATACAGATAAATCTTGGTACAAACCACATAGTCCAGAATCTCATCAACCACTGTACTTCCTCTGAAGCACCTAAAATCCGCAACCGTGACGTCCACACTGAGTAGACCTTCTGTAAATTTAATGTTATTTCTCTAACTCCTTTGGTACTAAGTATAAGATTATTACGGAGGTGGACATATCGCAAGTCCTAACCTTATTCTCTACAAGATCTCAGGCCTTAAACACTTGTAAATTTTGGAAGAACCTTTCAGTACCACATATATACATTTCAGGCCAAAACTGATATAACACATGACTCACAATCCATTCATTGATAGTGGACTCCCCCACTCGACAGGAAGTCATAGTTCACCACGTCCGATGGTCCACAATATTAACCTTTTGTAACTCGTATAAATCAACCAGATGCCAAGGTATGTTGCACCCCCTACATTATTCACTGGGTGATCTCTTTATACGTCCGTATCTTCAGTCGGAATCACACGTTGAGGCAATGTTTGAGCATCTCTGGCTCCCTCATAGTTCATCTACGGCATCACGAACCGTCGACGCACAATTGATACTAAGTGCGCAATGTCATACACGAGTAGATACAAAGGAATGTAAGATATAGGTTTCAAGCAAAAATCAATGCCGCACGATAAGGAATGAAAAAGGTTATATTGTTCCTAAACTTCATAGCCTCTGAGAGATAAGTACAGACGTCTCCGTACCGATCCTTCAGACTCTACTAAGCTTGCTCGTGACTCGTGAGACCTATGTAACCTAGTGCTCTGATACCAACTGTCACAGCCCGAATTTCCCATCTTCGGACTGTGATGGCGCCTAACATTTCACTTGCTAGGCAAACCAACATTCGAATAATATTAACAAATTTTTAAACAATCTTTACATTATTAATAATCAAAGAAACAAAAGCGGAAGCAAAGTTTGAAATATAGTGAAATAATCCAAAAATACAACGGTGTCTAAATACCATTCTAGAAGCTCGTGCACTTGATCTGAATACTATTATTATGTGAAATGTTAGGCGTTATCACGGTCCGAATATGAGAAATTGGGTCGTAACAGGAAGGTAGTTTGTACCCAAGAAAATAATAATCGTGTGCATAATTTGATCTGAATACTATCATTATTTTTAAAAAAGAAGAAGGAAGAACAGGAAGTTCGTATTCGTGAAGCATAAGCACGAACAAAATGTCATCGATTGGATTGGCTGACCAATACAACTAAGAAAATTGAAAAACAATTGTTGTTTCTTGGGTTGTAGCTTGTAGCCCTTAAAGTCTCTTGACGGAGCTCATTCCAGCCCATTCTAGGGAGCTAAAACAATCTCCTTTTATTTTCTTCATCTAAATTTGGACTCCTGAATTGTAATTCCCATTTTGCCCCATGGAAAATTTTAAAATATAATTTTATTATTTTTCAAGGAAATAAATAGGTTAAGGTCATTATTATAAAAAGAAAAACATAGGACAGGGTGCAAATACCAAAAGAGTACATACATTAGGGATACAAAATACAAAGGACCCGGTTGTAGCACTAAAATCTCTTGACGAAGATCCTCCCAATCCTTTCATTAGGGATCCTTTCATTTTCGTCATCTAAATTTGGATGCAAATCCTACTTCATATATATAAAGGAAAACTTTGTAATCTTAATATTTTATCATCCCTAAAGCTAATTCAAAGTTAGAGTAGCTAGAAACTTAAATTGTTTAGGGTTTAGTATTTTTAGGTTATTTAATCAATATCTAAATAGGAAGTGTAGTCAAAACAATATTGGAATATGTTTCCTAGTTTTAGTTAAACTAGGTTTTGGACTATTATAAATAAGAGTGCTACTCCCTATTTTCTAATGTGAAAATATTCAAGATATATGTTGAGATATCTGTTCTAGAAAAGAAACACGAAAGCCTACCTTTAAAATCCTCCAAAGAGGCTTTATTAATACATTATTTTTTTTAATTTAGATAGAAAAAAAAGAATGGGATCTTATCAATTAATCAGAGAGAAGAATGATGCAAGATTAAGTCGGGATCTAGAACAAGGAGATGTGCAAGTTGAGGTAGAAGTTAAGAATTTTTGTTCGCCTAGAAATATTGAGGTTATTACAAGTGATGCACAAAAGGATTACAATAATGGTGTCGAATTGGCTGCTTTGACATCTACAAATTTGTCCACAAATACATTGCCAATATCAGGCAGCAGGCCTAAGACTGGTTCCGCTGCAGCGAGTGAAGATGGTCGCCTTCTTTCTCTTGACGTTTTTCGCGGTATTACTGTTGCGTTAATGATCTTTGTAGAATACGCTGGTGGACTTTATCCCTCTGTTAATCATTCACCTTGGAATGGTTTAAGCCTAGCAGATTTTGTGATGCCATTTTTCCTCTTTATTGTTGGACTCTCTCTTGGACTTGCATACAAGAACTTGCCCTGCAGATTGACCGCCACTAGAAAAGCAATATACCGTGCACTTAAGCTTTTCATTATTGGACTTTTTCTTCAAGGGGGCTATTTTCATGGTCTCAAAAATCTAACTTATGGAGTGGATATTGCGAATATTAGATGGATGGGTATATTGCAGAGAATTGCAATTTCATTTTTGGTGGCAGCAATGTGTGAAATTTGGTTTAAGGGACGTGATAATAATGAAGTCAATTCAGGGCAATCTTTGTTGAAGAAATACCATAAACAATGGGCCATCGCTATAATAGTTAGTGTTGTCTACCTTTCTTTATTCTACGGTTTATATGTTAATGATTGGGAGTATCAGATGCCAATGGACGTAACAAAGACATTCTCAGTAAAATGTGGTGTACGGGGAGATACTGGACCGGCATGTAACGCTGTTGGAATGATTGATCGAAAATTATTTGGCATTCAACACTTATATACAAGACCAATTTATGGAAGATTAAAAGAATGTAGTGTCGATTCTCCTGACTATGGTCCCCTGCCTCTAGATGCTCCATCATGGTGTCCAGCCCCTTTCGATCCAGAAGGCGTTCTGAGCTCGTTAATGGCGATTGTAACGTGCTTCATTGGTTTGCATTATGGCCACATTATTGTCCATTTCAAGAATCATAAAGTTAGAATTCAGCAATGGTTGATACCATCCTATTGTCTTGTACTGTTCTGTGTAATATGTGACTGCTTCGGGATGCATTTAAACAAGGTTTTGTACTCCTTCAGTTACATGTGTGTTACTGCTGGTGCAGCTGGATTTCTCTTCACTGCAGTCTATGTGATGGTTGATGTGTTGGGTTATAGGCGCTGGACTACCGTGCTGAAATGGATGGGAACGAATGCATTGCTAATCTACGTTCTTGTATCGTGCAACATTCTGCCGGTTATTTTGCAGGGTTTTTATTGGAGGCGGCCTGACAATAATATTCTTACTTTGATTGGTATTGTACATATAAAGTAGTAGACAAACAATTGGCATGTAAAACGAGGCTAGAATTTGAACTTTATGAGTTCTAAATTCTAAGATAGTTGTTGCATTATGTGTCAGTAATTGAATACTCATTTTATTTTTTGTACATATTTAATAAATTTTTTAATACAAATATATAATTTTGATACCTTCTAGCTCCGCCTTAGGTAGTTGATTTAAAGCTTTGCTTCTCTTTTATTTGGTGCTCGCCATATTAATATCAACAATACGGTAACTTCAACTCAAATGGCACCCCCCAGCAATACCCTTTTTAAACTAAACACCAATGGTTCAGCACGATTAGATACCGGCCAAGGCGGAATTGGCGGTGTCATACGTGACTCAGCAGGTAACTGCCTCACAGGCTTTTCAGGACACCACATCTCTCATGTTAGTGTTGAAACAGAACTACAGAACTACGGGAGCTATATCATGGTTTGCGGTTGGCTTTTAATCATGGATACAAACCTCTAGAAGTGAACCTAGATGTTCAAGCAGTCATTACCATATTATAGACCTCGCACCCTCTATATGCTAATCTTATACATGATTGCACGTTTTTGATCGCGCAACTGGATGTTCCTGTCATACTTTACACATACAGAGAGCAAAACCAAGTAGTTGATTTACTAGCAAAGCCTGGCTGCCATGTGGATAGAACTGCAGGCATCACTGTTTTTGCACAACCTCCGTCTTTTGTTCGAACAACTTTGGAAGGGTTGCACCCATCAGCTCTTCAGCACGAAATCTGTTTGCAAAGTCCTCTTGAATGTCCTTTTTGTATTTCCTGGGATACGGGAATCAGCAGTAGTAATAGTTACCCCAGATCCCTTTTGTAACGACCCATCACGTGGTCGCCCCCTCAGGATAATGTCTATGCTTTCAAATGCTCTCTTTACTACTCCGCCTTAACATAATATAAATAGTTATCCTTTGAACAAAAAAATAATATCAACAATGTACGGTAACTGAAACTCGGACCCTTTTTCCATATTAATTTTTTTAAAGATAATTGAAATAATATCTCAGAAAAATAAAAATACTCTATAAATACCATTTCCGTCAATGACAATTACGGATCTGTTAATAAATAATGTCCCAATTATTTAAAAGGAAAAGAAAAAAACAGCCTTAATTTATGATAATAGATCCAATTCTTATTTGGTCAATGCTCTTGATCAGTTTTGGTTTTTATTATCCTTTTTTCCATTTTTTCTTTTAAATTTTCATTTATAAAGACGTTTCTGCTGTCAACTCTCTTAACTTTTAAGATGCTTAAGCAATCATACTCAGTTTGAACTACTACTTTTTTCCTTTGTTGGTCCTTGACTTAAAGCTTAATCTAAATCATTGACCCAAATTACATTAAAAAACCTTCCTACTTGGCCTCAATCTCTGCACTTGGTGATTTTGGCAGAACGTGTCTTCACATACTATTATATGCTAATATTAAGTAATATTTTCAAACGGTGAGAAGGATCGAACATTAATAATTTTAAAAATTTAATGTTTTGTGTGGTGATAGTTTAAAAAAGTGTTTACACAACTAGTTCACTTACTACTAAACTGTCTACAATAAGATTAATTGCTAGCTTGATAGAAATCGTAACTAACTTGCTAAAATATATTAATTCAACAACTGCGTGAATAATTTTTTCTTTTATTAACCAAGAAACGAAGCAATGCATAGGGAAAACGCGTCATAATGACGCATGACGCATGACGTCACCCTGATTCATGGACCGCACAATTTCAAAGTTTGCGATTCACATAGAGCCACGCTGCCAGCTCGCCCCATTCATCTCGATCCGGTTAGCTCGTCCAGTCGTTTCGACCGCAATAAACAGAATCCGCTCATCAAGCCCGCCTGAGGTCGGCCTTAATAAGCGGAGGGACTAACTGTATGGGTCAAAATATGTCCTAGAATATTTAAGATAAGATAACACTAAAGAAAGCGTCGAGGTCGACTAGGAAGCAACGAGATTTGCGGTCAAGATGTCAACAATAGTCGAGGTCGAGCACCGTTAATGAAGGTGTAATAGTTAGTTTTCGAAATAGGATATTAAGGAGAATATTCTAGTGGATATTCTCTACACTTACACTATTAGGGTTTATTAGAAAAATGTCTCATATAAGCAGAAAAAGAGACAACGATATAGGGCATGTGACATTCATTTGATAAGAACAGACTTTTGACAAAAGATTCTCTCTCTTACTAGGATATAAATACTACCTTTTTATCAAGATTCTCGTTCATATTATTCCATACTTTTCCATTAGATCCGAGAATAATTCGAACATTCTAGGATTTGTTTGTCACTCATCATTGTCAAGAGGAACAACCATCTAGTTCATCCTTTATTGGGTGAATCACTTTTCCTATTTACTTAAATATCATTTATTGTTATTTATTGCTATTAAGTGCTACATTATTGCTCGAGCGAGGTCGAACATAACCTAACTTAATTTTGGTTGAGGGACGGTAGGTGTTAGTTCGAGCGAGGTCGAACATAACCTAACTTAATTATGGCCGAGGGCCGATAGGTATTAGTTCGAGCGAGGTCAAACATAACCTAACTTTGAGAGAAATACGTTGGTAAGTGTAAAGTTTATTGCCTTGACATTGTTGCATTTGTTACATAGTTAGAGAAGTCAATGCGCTGGTGGGGGCCCTCTGTAAATTTCTCCAAGTATGTAACAAAACAACAATGTCAAGGCAATAAACTTTACACTTACCAGCGCATTTCTCTCAAAGTTAGGTTATGCTCGACCCCGCTCGAACTAACATCTACCGGCCCTAGGCCATAATTAAGTTAGGTTATGTTCGACCTCGCTCGAACTAACATCTAACGGTCCTCGGTACGTCCCCCTCATCTAGATGAAAGCAGCACAAGCAACAATGATGGACGAAGACAGGAACTCGATGAAGTTGATGAACTAAGAGATATGGCTTATATAAGAATGATCGCCCAAAAAGAACAAGTAGAGCATTATCATAACAAGAAAGTAAAGGTCAAGCCACACAAAATCGGAGACTACGTACTCAAAGCTAAAACCCAAGCGAGCAAAGATCCCAGGGAAGGTAAGCTAGGAACAAATTGGGACGGTCCATACAAAATAACAGCAAAAGCAAATAAAGGATCATTTCAGCTAGAAACAATGGAAGGAAAGCTACTACCAAATAACTGGAATATCAGTCACCTCAAGTACTTCAACTTCTAAAGGAAAGAGTGCCCCCCAAGTCGTACTCTTTTTTCCCTCACTTGAGTTTTGTCCCAATTGGGTTTTCTTAAGAAGGTTTCTAACGAGGCGACGAAGGGAACACTCCAAGTCGAAGTACGCGAAGGCAAGGCCCTGATTTCTATTTCATTGCTCAACCTCTCACTACTCTCCAGATCGACCAATGAACGGACTAGGTAGACCGGGACTGGAACGCCAGCCAACACCCAAAGTCTGTAAATTTCTTCAAGTATGTACCAAATGCAACAATGTTAAGGCAATAAACTTTACATTTACCAGTGCATTTCTCTCAAAGTTAGGTTATGTTCGACCTCGCTCGAACTAACACCTACCGGCCCTCGACCATAATTAAGTTAGGTTATGTTCGACCTCGCTCGACCAAGGTATGGCCCCCTACTTTCTGCTCATAATTTTTGTGTGTCACCCACAGAGATAGTCTACGCCCTGGAGAAGCTCAGACCAAAAGTGAAGTGGGCGCCGAAGATGAGATCAGACCCTAATACTAGAAAGTCTGACGCCCTATATGAGTTCCACCAAGAACGAGGGCACAAAATGGAAGACCGCATTGCCCTAAGGCAGGAGGTCGCGAATATGCTATGTCAAGGACATCTTAAAGAGTTGCTAAGCGATAAGGGAAAAACCAATTTCGCCAGAGGGCGCGAACATCAAGGGCCACCTAAACCACCCTCACCAGCCCGTACCATATGTATGATCATCGGAGACAATGCCTCTATCTACAGTGTAAAGTTCACCACTACACAAACTCAATCGATCCATCACCCGTGAATGGTACGACGAACTCAAAGAAAGTATCAACTTCGACAAGTCAGATGTCGATGGTTTGGTCTTCCTTTATCATGATGCTCTCATTATTACTCTGCGAATTTTGGATACTGATGTTAAACGTATTATGATTGACAACGGAAGTGGCGCGTGCATCATTCATCCCTGAGTACTTACCCAAATGAAACTCGAGGATAGGATAGTGTCGCGCTGCATCACACTAACTGGTTTTAACAATGCAGTTGAATGGACATCCGGAGAAATTACTCTCCCTATTTTGGCCGGTGGCTTAACTCTGGAAATAACATTCCACATCATAAACCAAGACACTACGTACAACACCATAGTAGGACGCCCGTGGATACACCCTATGAAGGTCGTCCCCTCCAGCTTATACCAAGTCATCAAATTTCCAACTCCATGGGGGGTATTCAGCATATGAGGAGAGCAGCGTACATCCCGGGAATACTACCACATTGCTTTAGACAGCACGACCTCCCATCAAAGGAAGGACAAAGAAAAAGAGGCATAGCAATCAGTAGGGATGAGGTCGGGGCATGATGAGGTTGGAGAAGGTAACAAAGATCATGACGTAGTCGAAGCCGCAAAATCGACCATAGAAGACCTCGACCCTATTTAATTAGACTTCAACGACCACAGCAAAAAGGCCTATATCAGTTGCAAGCTCCAGGACCCAAGTAAATTCAATCAATTCTTAAAACCTAACGCGTATTTGTTTGCCTTCAGCCATGCAGATATGTCGGGTATGCCAAAGGAGATCGCCACGCACAAATTAAACATCGACCCCTACCACCCTCCGGTGAAGTAGGTCAGGTGTAAATTCAACTTAGCAATCAATGATGCGGTGCGCAAGGAAGTGCAAAAACTGTTAGAAAATGGTTCCATAAGGGAATCAAAGTAACCCAAATGGGTCGCCAACGTAGTAATGGTCAAAAAAAAGAATGGAAAATGGTAGATATGTGTAGACTTCACAGACTTGAACAAAGCATGCCCGAAGGATTCATTCCCGCTGCCTCACATCGACCAACTCATTGATGCAACAGCCGGACATGAGATACTAAGTTTCGTGGACGCTTACTCAAGCTACAATCAGATCCTCATGGAAGAGGAAGACCAGGAGAAAATCACATTCATCACCCACAAAGGAATGTACTATTACAGGGTCATGCCCTTTGGACTAAAGAATGCGGGGGCGACCTATCAAAGGTTGGTGACAAGAATGTTCAAGGTTCAGGTCGGCGAGACAATGGAAGTATATATAGATGACATGCTGATCAAATAAAAAGAGGAGAATATCACATCGATCATCTGAAAGAGACTTTTGAAATACTAAGATAGTATAGAATGAAACTAAATCCGGAGAAGTGTGCGTTCAGCGTAGCCTCGGGAAAATTTCTAGGGTTCCTCGTATCGCAGCAAGGAATCGAGGTCAACCCTGACCAAATTAAAGACATCAAGGGGATACCCGAACTCTTGACCACCAAAAAGCAGGTCCAAAGATTGACTAGACGCATCGCTGCCCTATCAAGGTTCATCTCGCGGTCGTCAGATAGATGCCATAAATTCTTTGACATGCTCAAGAAATATAACGGCCTCCAATGGACTTTGGAGTGTGTCAAGGCCCTGATGGAACTAAAGGCATACTTGTCGTCGCCGCCCTTGCTTTCAAAACCTGAGTCGGGGGAATGTCTCCTCGTTTATCTAGCTGTATCCGATATAGCGGTGAGTGCTGTCCTAATTCGAGAAAATAAAGGTACGCAATCTCCTATCTATTACATTAGCAAAATATTAGTCGATGCCGAGACGAGGTACCCGCACCTCGAGAAACTGGCTTTGGCCTTAGTCGTAGCTTCACATAAGCTAAGACCATATTTCTAGTGCCACCCCATCTCGGTCGTTACGACTTTCCCCCTGAGAAGCATTTTTCATAAACCTGAGCTGTCGGGGAGGCTGGACAAATGGTCCACTGATATAAGCGAGTATGATATCACATACCAGCCACAAACGACGATAAAGTCATAAGTGCTCACTGACTTCGTCGCCGACTTTAGCGCAAAAATAATTCCTGAAGTCGAAAGGGAAGCCCTCTGAACCTCCTTCCAAACACAAGACCCCTGGGTCCTATACACCGATGGCGCGTCCAACGCGTCAGGGTCCGGACTGGGACTCTTACTTGAAGTCCCAACATGCAAAGTAATTCTTCAGTCCATAAGGTACCCGGACATGACTAACAACGAGGCCAAGTATGAGGCCGTCATTGCAGGTTTGAGACTAGCACTCAAGTATTGGGCAAAACGGTTAAAATTACGTTGTGATTCCCAGCTCGTAGTCAACCAAGTCAGAGGGACTTTCTAAATCAAGGAACAAAGATTACAAAAATACCAGGCCAAAATCTGCAAGCTGTTGCCCAAGTTTGACGAATGTCAACTCGACCAGATTCCGTGAGCACAGAACGTCGAGGCAGATGACCTCTGCAAACTAGCCGCAGCTACCAAAAGCATCACAACACGAGACAAAAATGTGGTCCATCTCCCCAACTCCTCGCTAGACCAAGTCGAGGTAAGAACCATTAACCTAACTTAGGATTGGCGCAATCGTATTATCACATATTTGCAGGACGGTACACTCAGGCGATAAGAAAAAGGCCAGGAAACTGAGAATGCAAGCGGCCAGATACAGTATCCTGCACAATGACCTGTACAAGAGAACCTACGATGGCCCTTTAACAAAGTGCCTTGTCCCAAATCAGACTCGACGCGTCCTTGAGGAGATCCACGAAGGTCATTGCAGGGCTCATTCTGGCAAACGAGCGCTGGTCAGATGCCTCATACATGCAGGATATTATTTGCCCGCCATGAAAAAAGAGGTTGCAGACTTCGTAAAATGATGCGAGCAATGCCAGAAGTACGCCCCTGTGATTCCCCAAGCATTCAAACACCTCCACTCTGTCACCTCACCTTGGTCATTCATCAAATGAGGAATGGACATCGTAGGCTCCCTCCCGGTAGGACGAGGTAACGTACGATTCCTTTTAGTTTTAACTGACTATTTTTCTAAGTAGGTGAAAGAAAAAGCATTCTCCCAAATACGGGAACAGGAAGTAATAACCTTCATATGGAAAAATATCATATGCCATTTCGGCATCCCCAAAGAAATCATCTGCGACAACGGACCCCAATTCACGTGAAAGAAAACTGCTGAATTCTTCGAGAAATGGCATATCAAAAGAATACTCTCAACCCCGTACCACCCCGCATGCAACAGGCAAGTAGAATCCTCCAACAAATCAATACTAAACATCATGAAGAAGAAGCTCGAGCACGCAAAGGGATTGTGGCCAGAAGTCCTACCAGAAGTATTGTGGGCATACCGGACAACTCCGAAAATGAGCACAATAGAGACGCCCTACTCTTTAGTCTACGGGACCGAGGTGGTAATACCAGTTAAAATCGGAGAGCCCATTCTAAGGTATTCCCATGAGAGCGGCACAAGCAACGATGATGGCCGAAGACAGAAACTCGACGAAGTTGACGAACTAAGAGATATGTAGAACGTAATTATAACAAGAAAGTAAAGGTCAGGCCGCTCAAAATTAGAGACTATGTACTCAAAGCTAAAACCCAAGCGAGCAAAGATCCCAGGAAAGGTAAGTAGGGAACAAATTGGGACGGTCCGTACAAAATCACAACAAAAGTAAATAAAGGATCATTTAAGCTAGAAACAATGGAAGGAAAGCTACTATAAAACAACTGAAATATCAGCCACCTCAAGTACTTCAACTTCTAAAGGAAAGAGTGCCCCCCAAGTCGTACTCTTTTTTCCCTCACTTGAGTTTTGTCCCAATTAGGTTTTCTTAAGAAGGTTTTTAACGAGGCAACGAAGGGAACACTCCAAGTCGAAGTACGCGAAGGCAAGGCCCTGATTTCTATTTCATTGCTCGACCTCTCACTACTCTCCAAATCTACCAATGAAGGGACTAGGTAGACCGGGACTGGGATTGGAACGCCAGCCAACATCCAAAGTTTGTACATTTCTCCAAGTACGTAACAAATGCAACAATGTCAAGGCAATAAACTTTACACTTACCAGCGCATTTCTCTCAAAGTTAGATTATGTTCGACCTCGCTCGAACTAACACCAACTGGCCCTCGGCCATAATTAAGTTAGGTTATGTTCCATTTTATACTTAAACAGTTTTTACAAAGGCAGGCTCGTGAAGACGCCTACAAAAAATACAAGCCTACAACAAAATAAAGAAAGAAGGAGAAAAACTATTGGTCGCCGCCATCGGGACCTTCAGCACCATCGCCCTGACCACCTGGGCCGTCTCGACCTTCCTCTTCATCATCACCATCGCCCTCAGGGTATACAACATCATACCAGGTATTCTCTTCAAGCTGGTCCATGCCCCCGTCCCCCTCATCATCACTAGCGTCAGGCGTGGCGGGATCATATCCACAAGCGACCCGAGCCTCGCGAGCCTTAACATGAACATCATCAAGGGCGACCGCAGAAATAGACTCCACTTTATACAAATCTCGAAACACTTCCAACTGAGCTTCAGCATGAACTCATTCCTCATACAGGTCCCGCAGAACATTTGGGAAATTTGAAGTGCGAGAGGAAGACGGCTGCGCGAGCAGTTGAGCCATTTCAGCCTCTAAGGCGGCCACCCGGTCCTAGAAGAGGGAGTTGTCTTTTTCCAGCACTCCGATCCTCTTCTCCAATCTATCTTCTTTTGCCTTAGCCTTAGATTGGTCAATCTCCCACTCGGCCCGGAGAGTCCTATTTGCCAACTCTAACATCTCCAATTTTCTCTGAGCCTCCAAACGGGAAGACTCCGCCTTCTCAAGCTCGCTGTGTTTCTTGGCGACTTCGCCATAAAGGACCTCCATCTGTAGGCAGCACTTTTCCAATTGCCTGCGCAGCTCCAAGATCATGGTCTGCGGTCATAAAAAGAATGAAAAGAAAGGAAAGCAAAA